AAACTTTTCAAATGCCTTTTGAAAATCTAGCCCCTGGTGAGGAGATATAATCAGGCATTTCATTAATGCTTCCTTTGCTGAGTAAATCAGGTAACTTTCTAAAATGGTAATGTTTGGATTAAACTCTTCTTGGGTGTGCAGCCCACTTAAAACTGGTCATATGCGTTTTAAAGTGTTTTTCTCTGTTTTTGCACAAGTCCAAGTTCTGTCAAGGACAGCTTGACACACATTGCAAGTACAAAATTGTCTCGCATACTCAACACCTCATTTTCTTGGAGAAAAAAAATGAGAAAAAGCTACGTAACAGTAAATAAATGTGCGTAGATAGTGTACGTCTGCCATTAACAAAATACCACTCATTATGCAAAGGCTGTGATTAGTTGCAAACGTGCTCTAATGGTTATATTAACCTGTGAAAATGAGCCTTTGTTTGGGAAAAGAACTTAGTACAATGCAAAATGAGGTTAAAATCAATTATTTAAATGAAGGCTTCCTGCTTGCTGATTTAAGTAATGGTTTAAATTAGTGACAGAAATGGCTTTGCATATGACTTCCTCAGGGTTGTGGTGAAGCAAGAAACCTTCTGCACAAAGGAGTGGGTTAACAAAGGGATACTGAGTTTTTCACAACTGAAGTCATTTTTTTCGAACTTGAAGCTTGTTGGCAGTGAATACAAGTATCTACCCTCTGGCTTATGAGAAGTGGAATTTTTCTCCATAGATCAATGGAATTTGATGGAAGAGACTTTAGGTCATCTCCATCCTATTGCTTATTTGGGTTATCCACTGGTATTATTCTAATTTTTAGTTTTACCTAGCTTGGGGAACAGGACCCTTTACATTTTCCCCTGCACAGCCTAAAATGTCCATTTCTGATGTATGTATTTATAAACCTGTGCCTATCCTCCCATGCTGACTTTGCCTAAGGGGCCTCCTTCCTGCAAAGTGGTGAAATTATTCACCTGCACTTAATGAGAGCACCTTATGAACCTGAGGACTATCAAAATATTGGAGGTGGTGCCTAGGGTCCTGTAAAAGACTTTACCCACGTTTTATGAAGAAACGCATGCAAACATGATGGCAGTCCAGAAGCAACACCCAGCAAAACCTCTTCTTTTTAAAATGCAGGCATAACCTCTTTCCTTGAGCAAAGGTGGGAGTCTACCCGGAGATGGGCCCTGTCCTTAGAGGAGCTAAATCCTGCTTTTTCATATTGATCACAGGGTTGACTTAATACAATTGCAAAGTACAAAATAAAACCACGGTTAGTGGAGAGGTTCAAAAAGTGTTCCTGTCGGAGGGGCAAGATTCTGTTGAGAAAACAAATGCTCAAGTATCTCTTCTGAAGAAATTCAGGTGGAAAGGGGAACTTGTCTTAAATGATGTATGATCGTTTCCTGTGTGACAAAACCACATGTCACTAGCTAGAGCTTCTCCCATGTATGCCTACATTTTCTCTGATTTGCATTTATAATTAGGAATAAAAAATTAACAAGGTGCATCGTTCAAAAGAGGACTTCTGTTTCAGCCAGCGTGTAAAAACATTTTGAGTTGTCATGGCTATTTGAGTGATGTTATCTAATTGCCTAAAATACTTTTTCTTTCTTTTTTTCTCCTTTTGGTTCTGTTAGCAGTTGATGCTCAGTCTGCCCAGAAGTGGGTGAAGTTTTCTTCCGTTTCCGATGGTTTTAGCTCTGACAGTACTAGCCACCATGGTGGCAAAATCCCAAGAAAACTAGCCAATCAGGTGGTGGATCGAGTTTGGCAAGAATGCAATATGAACAGAGCACAGAACAAGTATGTACTAGCTTTCTGAAACTGAGATAAATGCCATATAGTAAATATAGCTGAAGAACTCTTATGCTGTAAGCAATGGGTTTTGAAGAAAAATTGTCAGAAAGATATGTTTTGCTTTATTAATTTTGAAGCGTTTCAAAGGAAAAAACTTACTTTGAATATCAGTGCACACTGATTTTGTTCACACAGCTGCTATTAAGATTTGGCATAGGGTTAAAGAAAAAGTAATGTGACCTGTAGTTTAAAAAATAATTAACTTCCCAATATTGGATTATAGGAGGAAGTATTCTGCTACATCAAATGGCTTATGCGATGAAGAGACAGTTGACAAAGTAGCCTCCTGGGATTTTGTTGAAGCCACACAGAGGACAAATTGCAATTGTTCAAGGTACCCCAGCAGACCTGCAGTCCAATAAGTAGATAGAATTATGCAGGGTTTATTTTTTGTGGCAGATTTTGGCAATTTTAAGCAATAAAGGTCTATACCACAGGGGGGATATGTATCCTGAACTTATTATGCAATCACCTGTGATGAGGGTAATATATGAGCTTTTATTTGCATGGATCAGCACAGTGATCTCCTGACAATTCAGTGTACACATGAGTATTCTGGCTTCAGGTTCCTCAGGCCGCCTACCTTGGGTTGAGCTCACCAGAGGGACAACCTGCACAGTCTCTAGTGTGAGTCTAGGATAGAGGTTCCCAACCCCCAAGCCACAGCCTGGTACCAGGCCGTGAAGGGTTGGCTGCCGGACTGGAAGTCCAGAAGTGACCAGCATACTGCGGACCAGCAGCCAACCCTTTTTTATACTTTGTACTAAGTATAAAAAAGGGTTGGCTGCTGGCCCACAGTATGCCGGTTACTTCCAGAGCCCAGTATGCCGGTCCGCAGTCTGCTGGTCCGTGGCCCAAAAAGGTTAGGAACCACTAGTTTAGGATTCTTAGGTCAGTGCACACACTGCTTTTGGTAGCTATTGAGGAAAGAAGCCTTAAAAAAACCATTTGCTGTGGCCTGGATCCTCAAGGGTTGTAAAGGAGATGATTTTGTTTTGGGGAAAAAGTTATTAGCATTAGCTGGTAGAGTAGATGAGCTTGCAACACTGCTATCCTAAGAATTGGACATTATGCGGCACTTGTTTCCACACAAAGTTGGCTGCTGGAGAAAACCTGTGTATGTGTGAATTTGCATGTTTTCGCTACAGCTTTTGCATTAAAATCCATGATAAAAGCCTTCTGAAGGAAATAAAACCATCTCTATTAACAGGTTTTTCTTTAAAGTGAATTTAAGTCCCCTTAATTCTAGTAGTAGCTTAGATTTGTGGCTTTAGTTTTTGCACAACACACTGTGAAATTAAAGTAGCGAAGAATCTATTGGCAATACTAAAATCTATGTTTAACTCTTCATGCTCAGTCTAATGATTCTGACCTTTGGAGTACAGGATGAATGGCTGGGAAACTGTAGATTAAAAAAAAAATGCTTACCTTTTTCCATTCTTGAAACACTATTACCCTAAGGCCTGTGCAAATACTGGAGACTTGAGAGAGAGTGGAGTTAGGCGCACAGTGTTTCACTAAAGGAGAATTTGTGTATGGGGTCTCTCTTACTTAATGCTATGCTAATAAATGTGAGTCGAGGATAGATTAAAAATGGGATTGCCAAAGTTTAAAGATCTCTCTTACTCCCTTTCTCTCTCTCTCTTGGGATTTTAAGAGTGCCTGTGTGCAGAAGAGGCCATGCAAAGTTCAAAGGAGATAGAACTGTGCTTTAATAAATTGAAAACCTTTACTTCTGATTTAAAGCTGAGAAGCATGAGCTGCACACTTTTGGTTTTCTCTGCCAGAATGAGGTACTCCAGTCCTGTAAACAAAGGTGTGTGCACAACTCATTATCAAGCTGATTTTTTTTCTGTAATCCGTTTCGGTACTTGTGGCCCTTATTCTGGCAGAGAATCCAGAAAGTCTGCACTTTGGGGAGTTTCACTCAGAAGCAGCCATTTTTTGCATTCTGCATGTTGGGGAGCAGGAGGGAATGCACTTCATCATTAAAGTGCATTTATATTCTGAAAAATAACTGTGTAAGTGGCACTGGGAGATTTAATATATTTCTCTCTTTCTTATGAGATTTACAGGTAGATGGTTGATTTGTAGGATTGGCAGCCTGGCTTTTAGGTCTTAAGGTTGGGTTCATTAGGACTCTCACATCACCTTTAGTCAATGAACATTTTGCCCAGAAAATTTGTGCAGCTGCTTGAACCAGAAAAAACAGCAGTTGTACTGATTTGACAGTGTTAGCAGAAGTAAAAAAGCAATACCTTGTTTGGAAAAAATAAGCCACTGAAGGAGGAACAGATCCTTCAACAGTCTTTCACCCTAACTTCACTTCAAGGACTTGAGTGAGCATGCTGTTCAGCTTTGAGAGACTGTTGTAGCAACAGGCACCAAAATGTGGTCCGAAAAACTGGACACCTTCCTGTCAAGTATGTACAAAACCTGCTTAGATCCCCTATCTCTATATCCAGTTTCTCATAATTGTATTTATCAGAAGTGGGCTGGCTTGTACCCAGTAGTGTGCCAGCGGATACACTTGTGAGATTCACTAAAGTATTTTGCACTTATTTTTCCAGGCACAAAAATCTCAAACCAAGAAATTCAGGGCAGCAGGGGCAGGCGCCGCCCGCAAGCCAGCAGCAGCAAGCGGCTCCAAAGCACAAGACAAATGAGAAGCAAGACAAGGGGGATAAGCCGCAAAAACGCCCTTTGACTCCTTTCCACCATCGTGTCTCTATTAGTGACGATGTTGCCATGGAGGCAGAATCAGCGAGTCAGAGGCTTGTGATCACAGCACCAGACAGTCAAGTGAGATTTTCAAATATCAGAACTAACGATGTAGCAAAGACTCCTCAGATGCATGGCACTGAAATGGCAAATTCACCTCAACCACCACCGCTTAGTCCTCACCCTTGTGATGTAGTTGATGAAGGGGTAACTAAAACTCCTTCTACTCCTCAGAGCCAGCATTTCTATCAGATGCCAACACCAGATCCCTTGGTTCCTTCAAAAGCAATGGAAGACAGGATAGATGGCTTGTCCCAGTCTTTCCCAGCTCAGTTCCCAGAAGTCATAGAACCCACAATATACATTGGTACTGCAGTGAATCTGGAAGAAGATGAAGCTGATAACACTTGGAAGTATTATAAAGTTCCAAAGAAAAAGGATGTGGAATTCTTACCGCCCCCGCTCCCCTGCGACAAATTCAGAGACGATCCAGTGGTACCTGCTGGACAGGAAAACCTCACATCCGTTACAGAGTAGGTGTTACTTAAAATACCTAGTCATGCAAAAATGGCCAGACTTCCAATTAGACCGTTTCTCCAAACATGATCAAACGTCCCTTTATTAACAGGGTGTGATACTTGAACCAAGATCTTTGTACAAAAAGTCACCTCTAAGAAAGGGTATTTGAGTTTCAGATTATTAAGCTCTTTATATTTTCATTTATGTGATAGTTTGTTCAGGTTTGAAAACCGTTAATGTTCTTGGGCTTAAAGCTGTTATGAATCTTAAGCCCTATCTGCCTTCGTGAGATTTTTAGTGTACTACAAATTTGGTGGCAAACATAATGTTGGCTTTCATCGCTTAATGATAAGCATTGTTTTATTATCTCAGGAGGAAGTTTTTACCATGCAGAAACAATTTTTTTTGGTCGGTGTGTCCGCAGCGTCCTTAAATGCATGCCAAACTTTATGCCTGCGAGTTGCCTTCACTTAGTAGTTTTCTTGCTTACTCGAGGTTATATGTGGTAAAGGACTTTACTAAACGTGTTTTAATGAGGAGGAATTGAGCATAGGCAAAGTTCTGCAGGTTTTGTGTTCCTTTTTTTTTTAACATGGATGCCCAAAACCTGCAGAAACCTTTTGGAGCAAGTGTAACTTTATTTATACTAATTAGTAAGAAGAGGCTTTCCACTCTATCTGTTCAGCATCTTTTGTGTTCAGAAGAACCTAGTGTAGGAAAAGAAGAGGACAGCATCGTTGGGCAGCTAACACCTAGCTTAGGGGATCTGCGTATAAGCTTGATTTTTACCGTTGGTCATATTTTTAGGTTTTTCTTGTATCGCTGGTCTTTGAGGAGTTTTAAGCTTGTTCTTTTGTGTCGACAGCTGAATCTTTGGGTATAATGGGTTCTGGGGAGCTTTTGCTTCATCTACTTCTGTAAATTGGCTCTTACCTTTACTAACATGCTAGAAGATTTGGGGGACGAAATGTTTGCCTTGAATGTTAACTTATCTACAATATGGGCTTTTGGAAATTGGGGAGGTATAAAGGTCAAGAAGCCAGCACTGAACTCCTTATTAGTGTGCCTGTCCGGAGAACTTCCAACTATTTGAGTTGGTCCAATACACCAATTGCTTGTGTTGTTTCCAACTATTTGAGTTGTTCTAATAAAAGATATCGGATTTACCCAAAGAGCCTTGTCTGCCTGTGTCCTTAGACCAACACGGCTACAACCTACACCCCCATCAGGAGAGCTTAACTTTCAGTTTGCAGGTCAGATCTATTCTGAAAATCATACTTGCTTCCTCAGAGGTTTTTTGATGCCTTTTCAGAGAGAAAAAAACAAATGAGCCAGAGATGACTAGCTCACCTTGATTTGTGTGTCTGCAGAAGGATTTTTAAAGGGTTTGAGGTTACCAATCAGAAAACTAATGATTGACTTGTCTCATTTTAGTGCGTTAGATAGACCTCGACTGTCATGAAAATGCTTCACTACCAAATAATGGTCCCTCTGGATGGACAAATGTCATGGGATAAGTAGGAGTCAGACTAGGTTCCTTTCAAAACTTGGCATTCCAACCCTCATCGCATTATCTTTAGGCCACTGAAAATGGCTTTGGGGTATCATTTGCACTGTTTTTGCCTGGCAGTATTTAGTAACATAAGGAAGTCAGAGCTGTGTGGCTGTTTTTTATAGAAATGCTTTTATTTAGTTCCACATGGATAAGAAGGTTTGAATTCTTTTTAATTGTATAAATAGAAGTTGGTTCAGAATTTCTGCTGTGATAAGACTTTGTAATTTTGCCCAAGATTACAACACACATCCCTCTGCAGCTTCCCTCCTCCAGAAGAGAGAAACCCATCCTCATCAGTTTTCTGATCTCTCCAAAGCTTGGATAGTTATGGAATGAATAAAATGCAATAGAATAAAAGAATAATCTTGGTCTTTAGTTTTAAAGCTTATTTGATTCAGGGGTTACTTGGGACTCTCTGTTTCACAGCTGTGCAAATATGTGGTTTTTGCCTCTCCTTTAGGTTTAAAAACAAACCACGCTTTTCCCCCCTTGTCTTCTGTATATCCTTCTCAGCAGATGAGATCTGCACAAGACGATTCTCATCCACTCTTACTACAGTGCTTTCAAAATATAACTTGCCTCTGAATGGGAAGCAGCTTCTGATGCGAGGAAGTCCTACAGCGATTGACAGTTTCCATCCCCTTCCCCAACCCCACTGTGATTTTGTTAATTTAGTGGGGGTTTTGTATTCCAGACCTATCTAGATGCAGAGAGAGTGTCCCGCATGTCAGCCCTGTAAAAAACCAAAAACCAAAAAAACCAAAACCACAACAAAGCGAAAAAGACCAAAACAGGTGTCTGTTTAATGTTTTCAAGGCCTAGATCTTTATATTAAGGAGACATGCATTTATCAGTGTCCTCCAGCCTCCCAGACAATGGAAAGAGATGCTCTAATTCAAGGTTTACTCTTTTTTTCAGAGTAAGAAAATGCATCTTTCCTTTTATACCCTCCATTTAGTTTACCCATTCACTAAATGGGTATTTCAGCATAACTCCCTACTAAGCTACTTCCCTTGAAGCTTAATAAGAAAGTTGTTCCTGTTGTTGCAGTTTCTCTTGTTAGAAAGAAGCAATTAAAGCAGCAAGTTAGTTTATATAGGATGTTGGATTAGTTTATATAGGATTTGGGGTAAGGAGAAGTTCTCCAGTTGCATCAAAGGTTTCTCCAAATGCAAGTGCCGGCTGTCTCTGATATAGTTCATTGCCTGTCTGGGGGTGGTTTATGGAAGCACCTCCAAAAAGACGTGACCTAGGATATCCTTGGGACCCGAAAGGCAAGGCTGAAGTTGTCAGTTTTTTGGATACCACACATGAATCTTCCAAATGCTGGCAGGATCTTGGAGCTGGGGGTCAGGATATTTCCTTTGAGTGTTTTTGTTTCAAAATGCTGTCAATGGGAAGCAGGAAGGTTTGGTTTTGCTTTGGTTCTGTTCTACAGCTTCTCTTGTGCCGAGGGGATGTGGAAGGCAGAGAGAAGATTTTTTCTTTTTTTTTTCTTTTTTTTTTTTTTTTCCCCTTTAGGTCTCTCTGATGTATCCAAACTTACCTTACTTCATACTCCAGTTAGTTAGTCCAGACCAGGGGCTGGCAGCAATTTAGGAGTGGTGGGCTGAAATAACCCAGTTCTGCCTATGGTGGGCCAGAACATCCGATCTGGTTGCTGCTGCTGTTTCTCCCTGCTGCCTGGCCGCTGCGTAGCTGAATTCCCTCACTGCTAAATCCCCACAGATGTCCAGGCTTGACTGCCTGAATAAAACTGGTCAACAGGCTGGATCTTGCTTTTGGGTTGTAGTTTGCCAGTCCCTGGTCTGGACTATCTGAATACACAGGAGTAGTTGTAGGAACATCACAGCCTCTTATGCAGCAGGACCAACTAATGCACAGACTGGAAAATGACAAGAAGAGAGCCATGTGGGGGAGTGTTAAACCTCTTAATTCTGTATATTGGATATGTCTGTGTACTATTTGAGTAATTCACCACCAGGGAATGTCTTCTTGCACTGGGACATTATAGGGGCTTATGTGAACCCTCTTTTTGAACACAGATTTTGTCTTCTCACTGCTTTGTTGTATCTTGATTTGGATTTAAAATGTAAAGCACAAAAGGAGTCCAAGTTTGGAGCAGATGCATAGCTACTGTAGCACTGTTATTGGATAATCTAATTTCTTGCTTTTCCTCTTTAATAATTGGCTCCCAGATTAGGTTCGTCGTGTGTTTTGGAACATGGGGGGGGTGTGTGTGTGTGTCTGGCATTATATAATCCATATTGTATCTCTGTATGCTTATTATATAATAATCTGTCATACCATAGCTTCCAATAGTTTTCTACTTTGCATGCGTTTTTAATTTTCAGTCTTGAATAAGAGAGCTCTTAAGCATACAAAGAACTTCTAAAGCTAGGTTTATTTAGCCTGTTTTCATGAATGTCAGTGTTGGTGGATCTGGCTTGCATACTGTGCCACCAGCGTCATTGCAAACAAATGCAATAAAACAGTGAACACTTGAATGTTTTTACTCAAATCCATGTGTAACTAATTTGGATATTTATCTCCATGTTCTGTAAAGTCTAATTTATACTAGTCACTTAGTGGCATCTGTTCTTCAAGAGTTCTTATTGCTTTGGGTTTTGCTGATATCCAAAAGTCTGTATAAAATAAGCGAAAACAAGTCTGACTACTCTCTTCATTTTATTGCCCATGTTGCATGTTAGAGCCACCACTGTACTGGAGCAAGTTAAGGTGCCATTTCTTTGTACTGGACTGAACAAATTGCTGAGGAGCTAGTGGGTGTATTTAAAGGAAAAGAGCAGCCATTAGTATACTCATTGCTGTGTGTTTGGGGCCCTGTGTGCAATTAGCGTGATAATTTCAAATTGGTCAGTGTTGGCCTGCATTCCAGCACCTGCTCTTGTAGGCATCTTGGTTTTTTTGGGCTTATTCAAGGAATGGCTCAATGTTTCTTCCCAGCTCATGTTTGCCATTTTTTATTTTAACTTGGATTGAGGTGGTTGAAGGAAAACACCACAAATGTCTGCAGAGCTATACCTGACTTGCACATAGAGACCAACCATCCCTTAATCATCCTCCCAAAAAGGTCTTGGAAAAATAGATTTATTCTTAGCTAATATAGTGCATAGACATTGTGTAGAAGCTTGCAACAAAAATAATTGATGCTTAAACCAAGGTAGTAGGGGGTTGATGCAACTTTATAATTGTACTTTTTCTTCTGTCCAGATTAATGGTGCAATGTAGGAAGCCTTTAAAGGTTTCAGATGAACTGGTGCAGCAGTATCAGAGTAAAAATCAGTACCTAGCAGCAGTAGTATCTGAAACTGACCAAGAACCTGAAATTGATCCATACGCATTTGTTGATGGTGATGTGGAATTCCTTTTTCCCGATAATAAAAAAGAGAGGCAGAACAATGAACGGGAAACTGGGAAAAAACACAAGGTGAGTAAAGGAGTAATGAGGTAAATCAGTAACCGTATAAACACAAATTGTCTTAATCAAATGTTATTGAACCATGATGTATACAACTGGTAGCTAGCACATAGCAAAATGATTAATTATCAGAAATATTTGTATGAAAGCAG